ATTATGTAAAAATGAAGTATTCGATGAACAAAGTCTTTTCTCCTTTTAGTATTTAGCTTGGCTACTTAGCGATTTCAGTTTTCATAATTTGACGTTGTAGAACGTAATATGAACCAGTAGAAATAAGATTACTGAATAAACGCATCAATTTTTATCAATTTAAAGATAGCATTATCCAGTAAGATAAGAAGTCAGAACATTCTATCTAACTTAACTGTGTTGAAATTGCGAAATGCATATCATGCAACTCATGTAATGCTTACTGTAACGATCATTGCGTACTAATATATGAATTATTTCATTATACTTAATCTCTTATATAAATACCTTTCTTAATCTTTTAATATATTTAATACTAAAACAGCATACACATACACAATCAAGTACAATTTTAAATTCTTGTATAATATTCATTACATTAACTGGAGTATTACTTTACCAACGATGGTACTGTTTTGTAATTACAAATAATATTTTCACTAAAAATTAAAATCATTCGTGTGAAATCGCGTACATCCTATGTTTCAGTTTGCATACCATATCAAACCCCATGAGAACCCGATGCGGGCATCGATTTTGTCGAGAATGCATCCAAAAGGTGTTGCAAAATAAGAATCCAACGTGCCCATTGTGCAACTCCGATATAAATCGACGCGATACACGTAAAGACGAGCACATAGAGATCTACATCGATAGATTAGAGAAATTGATCGAAGCGGTACGAAAGGACTCCGGCATCGACGGTGAGCGAATTCCTTTCGTTAACATATCATTATTCCGTTTTCGTAAAACATTCCGCTATTAATTAATTAATTATTGATTGAAAATTGAAATAGAAGATCCTATAGAGTTCCTTTCTTTTCGATGTTCTTGAACGACCTTATCTTGAACAAACCACTTATTGTTATATCAATAAAACAATCGAAATTATTATCATAATTTAGTAATAATGAAAACCATTGCAATTTATTAATACTAACAAAAGAATTCTGTTTTATCCTAAATTTACGGAACATAGAATCATTTACATTATAAAAATGTTATATTAAATTATTATTATCAATCTATTAACATACAAAAATTGGGCAAACTATGAAAGAAGCACTGCCAAATTTTGCACGATGTTTCAGTCTCAAAAGAATAATAAAAAACGTTTGTTTCATTTTCATAATTTCATTGCAAATGATATAGATAAGAAAAATATCAGATAAGAAAAGTTGAGAAACGTGAGTTTTTTAGACTTTTGGTCATTCCAAGTAATAGAAAAATTAAAAAAAGTTGTTTTAGTCTGTTTACAGTAATCTAGTCTCTTTAACATTTAAACAAAATTGAGATCATTTAAACCAGTCCAGTTTTAAAAGGGTTAGCGCACTTTAAGAAGTGTACGAATACTTTTTGTGTGCCAGGGGTTGTATAACCGCAACAGTGTTCAAAATCTTTTATTTATCTTTTAATTTCGTGGGAGAACGAACCCTAACGCGGTAAATTTGACAGAAACTAAAATGCTGCATCCGTGTTACAAAGCAACGGTTGCTTGCAGAAAATACTTCTTCGTGTTTGCATGTCTATGCGTCACGACATCATGTTCACTCGAGGCAGCTATCCGTTTCTCAGGGCGGAACGAGTCTTTCAAACATTTAGATTCCACCCTTGTTTGGTATCCCAATGCTTCCTGCCGGTATATAAAAGTTCAATGTTTCACGAGGTCTTAACGTTTACGTGTGTCGCTGCATCTCGGAAATTCCTGCGATGGACATTTAACGGATACTTTGCTTGAAAATTTAACCGGTCCCCGCCGTAGCTCTTTCAGTTTTCGGAGATCCAAAGACAGAAGTTGCAGAGAGTGGACATATAGTTACATTCAAACAACAAGTTTCACGTTCTGTTAAGTTTGAGCTTAACACTTTGACTGCTGCACCGACAACCTCGAGAATTTGATAAAATTATAGCATGTTATTTAATCAAATTACAATTAATTATATGACAATTACTTCGTTAACCCGAGAAAGATAACCTACGTCGCAGAGGCGCCTGCGAAGACTGTTGATTTTTGTTAATTTCTCATAGAGGTCTAGTGATTTAAGTTTAAAATTACTTAAAATATAAAAAAATATAATATAAATGCATTTTATTTTTACAATAATGCCAAACCTTTAAAATGACTAGATTAACTTAAATAAATATCCATTGTTAGTATAAAATTGACGCCTTAGAAAAGCATGCGCCTCTGAAGCGTATGGTTATCTTTTACGTACGTTGTCATATGGTTATCTTTCTAGGGTTAAGACTCTTATATTTTGCAGATTTCAATAAAATTAGGATGTAACAGATTAGTGCAAAAATCGATTTTCGAATCTGAACAAATAATTCCGTTACAAAAAATGTTTAACGTTAGAATAGATATTGAGAATAGATTAGAGATAGATAGATTTGAGAATAGAATAGATTTTGCGAGGAACAAAAATAACTTTTTGAAAATTTATTGCGAAGAAAATCGTCGATAAAAACGTGTTTATTATTCAAGTTGAAGCTATTGATAGCGAAATGTAAAAGAAATTGTTCGAGTAACCACATGATTAAAAGATATCAATTTGTGGTTAAAACTATCAATCATAATTAACTGAAAATATTTTGCATTGCTAATGATCATTATTGGTGATGGAAATTCTATTTCGGTCACTTTGAATAATTAATTATTCCAGTTATTTATAACTAAATTGCGGATCTTTACGCAGTTATTAAATTTATGCAGATTTTTTAAGTGCAAGAAATTGTATAAATAAATACGGTCTATGAGCATTCTTACTTTCTTTTTAGAATGAGTTATCTTCTAGTTGACGAAGGAAACATTTATTTAATCCTGATTTTTCTAAAACAACGTATTATTACAATATCATAACAACAGTTATCAATGAGTTAAATACTTTTATCGCTTTTCTTCAAAAAATGAGATTTACTTGTTGACAGATTACTCACAATGTTGACAAATGTTGTGGCTAATCCATACATGAAATAACAATAACAATACATTGTTAAGTTAACTGAAGTCGCAACTTCAGTATTTTAAGAATAAAACTTTTCAGTACGATCATTAGAGGCCAACCTCTGTGTTACACGAAAATCTGTATTCCGTGAAAAACTATATGTTTTGCACCAATACAATTTAACCTAGAAAAAAATATGAAGGTTTTACCGAAAGATCCAATTGTATGTACAATACCCGATTGGGTTTGTTTATTGTAACGTTGCACATGAATAAAAACGCACGCTTCTATTGACAAAATAACAGCGGCTTGAAATATCTAGATATATGACTTTGACCTAAAATATTTACACGATATTTTAAGTACGGAATTTCATTTGAAACGTTTGTTGGTATCGTCGAAAACGGACGAATATATTTAAAATATATTTAGTGAACATAGACGAAACATTGCGTACTGTGGATTTAAAAGTATAATAAAATATATAATTAAATGCATTATATATTTTTCAAATTTGTATTAGTAAGAATTCTATGATAAAATGAAAATCTAATCAAAGAGAATTAAGAATACAATAATTAAGCGGTTTTATATAACACTATAACATATATTTTTAAATATTCTTGTAGCAGAAAGGGAGACATAATTAAATATGTACATTCGGATTCAGTGATCGAATGAAACTCCAAATGCATAACAAAAAAATCTTGGAAATTAATGTATCATTTTCATGGATTTATATACAATTTTAACAGATCAGAATTTGTTCTTCTTTCGAAATATATATACATTTGGCTCGCGCGGATAACCTTGACGTAACCCTACGGCGATCGCTGATGTAAAAGATGCTAGCGAAATCTTTTTATATGCAAATATTCGTGAACAGACGTATGCTAGATCTCGTCGGCAAACAGCATTTGGTATACGATGTAGTAAATCGCTGTATGTTATACAGGAAATGCTAACATGGCAACACAGCTTTCACTGTGGCGACACAGTCACAGATATGCCACGAACGGGCAAAAAAGTAAACGACATGCTATGCATCTGGAGCGAATATTGTATAAAAATATTTCTCAGATGTTCTACGATTTGAAAAGCTGTTTTTAAAAGGGCGATCTTTGCAGAATTAATTACATTTTGTTAAAATTTCATAATTAATCGATGATCTCAGTTTGTTGTTTTTATTAAGCACACTCGAGTGTTGTCTCTAATTGAATGTTTATCCTGAGAGGCTATTTTCTGCAAACATTATAAATGATATCAACTGCTAAGATTTGGAATAGTATTTTTTTTATAAAGGACGATGGAAAAAGCACGTCTATTATTAAAATAGAAATTATATCGTTAATTGAACTGAAAGATCAAAATTTCCGGCGATCATAAAATTTCGATATTTCTGCTCGCACGGTGGTTACAGTTATTAACGTTCATCGAAATCACCGGCATGAAATTCGTCAAACGGTCGAAACATTTGCATCGAATCGTCACCTCTCGTCAGTGCATATAAATCGATGAATATGCATGCACGACTTTCAAAATCAGTATCGATCCATGATTAACGATGAACATTGAAATCGTGACGTAATTAAACATAACGCTGTGACCATGCTTAAGATATTTACGACGTTCCAACGTTGTATATTACAGCTGTTTTATATTAGTTTATAAAAGTAACAATAAGACATTTGCTCTGTTTTTTAACAAGTGTCATTGTAACATTTGCCGCAAATAATGTATAAATTGAATAAACAACTCACAAATGTATCTTTACGATATGAATGATCGTAAATTAAAGAATTAGTGACCCGTCATTTTTACGGGTTCCGTAAATCTAGTGTTAATAACGTGATTTTTTAATATAAGTAAAATTACAGTGAGGACACATCAACCAGGGGGGGAGGGTAGTATGGAGGGGGTGTAACTGACACATTTACCTTACAAGGTTGAAAATGTGTCCGACATTAGGCAACATAACCTTATGCCAAGCGTGTAGCCAGAAAGGCGAACGTGATCCGTGACAAGAGGGTGACGCGAAGGAATAATAAAGCGCCCGAATCCAGCGGGAAGATAGGGAGAAATGAAGGGTGCCATTGCTATTGCGTTTTTTCCTGTTCGAGCGGAAGATACGTGTCAGCCTTATCGGCGGTTTGAATAAATTCCGAGGAGCACTCTCCTCAGAAGTTATTGCGTTTCAACGGAAAAGCACGGCGAACTCGTAAATGGAACAGAAACGCGGGGGCCGACAGCATGTTGGCTGCTGGTAGATAAGGGTTCCCAGTGGCGAGATGACACGTCCGCGATATCGTTTGTTTATTCCTCGTCTTTTTAATAACAAGCTCGCGATAACAAACTTGTTTTCTCAGGTACATCGTCCTGTCTCCTCCGTCGACGAAATAGTTCGCCCGGTTTTACAACGGTTTTCGACANACGGGTTCCGTAAATCTCTAGTGTTAACACTTTATCTTTGTTAAAATCGGTTTCTGATTGTTTCCTTTACAGTTACTGAAATTATAAAAATGTTTCTACGAAGTACTTTTTGATAAGACTTCTTTAATTAAGCATATATTGCAATAGCGACTGTGAGTGATTTCAGTCTTGTCATCGTCATAAAACAATGTGTATTAGTAGCGGCAGTAAAAAAATGATCATTTTCAAATAATTGTTCTATTAATCAGTAAACATGATATCTTCTCCTTAATTAAACTCTTACGTCCAGCTCTTAAGTGCACAATCTTATTTTCAACAAGAAAACAGGCGAAGTGCCAGTGTGAAATCTCTGTCAACAATTCCAATGCAACCTAATAATTAACATTTATTCGATATTGACTTTCGTTCTATTCGTATTAACAAGCTGCAGGAACTACCAATATCTTTAAATTTTTCTACAGTTTCAACTGTAATATATTCGACGTACCCAGTTTTGTTACAAATGAACCAGATCAGCAATCAATTAATTAAGCATTAGCATCGTTGTGCGCATGTTACAGTGCGATTGAACGTGTCGAGACGGCACAGCACGCGTGAGAGCTGTTCATCCGATAGCAAGGATTCCGCGAAGCAGGACTCGGAAGACTACAATCAGCCGAGTTGCTCGTACGCGCAGCCGAAGCCGTTCAAGAAGTCGGCAAGTTCGCAAGCGAAACGCGCCGTGCCGAAATCGAAAAGGTCTGGGAACAGCAGGAGCAAAAAGGACGATGCCCCGGGAGGCAGCAACATAACGAAATACTTTCCGAAGCATGGTCTATCCGGTGTCGAGCCGTTGCCCTCCGACGAAACGAATTATTCGGACGACAGCTCAATGAAGGTGCACAGTTGGCTCGAAACTTTGCCGCGGAACATGGAGCTCTGTGATCCGAGACGGAGCAGGACCCCGGACTGTAACCTGAACGACACGTTATCCTGCTCGTCGACATCCCAGGCCGGCGAGAAGGTAGTTGATACGGTTAGCCTTGAATCCGAGTGTCCCGGAGCCTTCAGGGAGGACGGTCGCAAGCAGACCGTGACGCTGGGCCGATCGTCGAAAGATCAAAAGGACAAGGACAATCGGGAGAGGATGATCAAAGCGGCAAAGTCCCGAACGGCTTCGTCAACGTCGGCTCCAAGAGCAAACGACGCGGCTGGTGGAATGCAAACGAGTTGGGTCGATCGAAGACAAAGCGCTTCCAGCAACGAGAAATCGGATAACGACAGGGATGCTGTTCGGGAACAGGCCGAGGACAGGAGGAGCGATGTCCAGAGAACGTCTCCGTGCGATCTGCTGCCGTCGATGAAGAAAAACTGGACCTCGGTGGTCCAGTTCGGGAAAGAAATGCGCTCGAGGAAGCGGAAGAAGATCAGGTCCTTGAACGTGAGCATCGAGAACATGAACAAAAAGTCGGCGAATGAATCCGCGAAGGAGCCAGCCCCGAGGCAGAAAAAACTTCCGGGAGGAGCGGTAAGAAGGAGCGTGGAGAGGCCGGGTGTCGCGGATAACGATGCGAATGAGAAATTGCCGGTGCATAAGGATGCCGAGGAAGAGCAGCCCGGGGACAAGAACAACGGATCGATGGCGGACATGACCCGGCCTGCTGGAAGGCCGTCCCTCGTCGTGCTCGAGGACGAGGACGACGCGCAGGTGTACAAAGGAAATCCGAACAACCATCAGACGAACGGGATCGTCGAGATCGTGGACGAACAGCAGCGGGATCTGGAACTTGAGGATCGATCTGACGACGAAGACTCGGAGAAAGTGTTCATGCGGCAGCTGGGCCTCTGGCAAACGCCCCCGCGAAAACGAATCGAGACGTCCTCGATCGGCGTGACTCCGGTTAGAGACCCGAATGCGCCTAGCCCGGACCTGCTGGAAAACTACCGTCCTTCGCCGGAGGAGGTGAAAATTTTCGCGCCGATCGTGCCGCAACCGTCCGCCAACTTTCAATCCTCGACGCCGTTGCTTAGCAGGTTGTCTCTAAAGAGGCGCGACACCGACTCGAAATTGGATGAGCCTGCTACGGCCGCCGGCTTAAACTCGCGACTGCTCGCTGTGAAACGTGACTTGAATCGCGAGATCGGCCGAACGGAAAGTATCGTCGCTGAGCCGGCGAAATCCGCGAACACGCCGGACGAACCCGAAGGAAGTGGCAGGAGGGGGAACGTCGAAGACACTGGGAGTCACAAGAGCAAGCGACAGGGGAAGTCTTTGGCGATGTTCAAAAAACTGGGCAAACTTGTCAGGTACCATAGAAAGCCTGTTAAATTCTTGTACCTCGGGAGCACCAGGCCACGGTCGTCGACGCTTCAGGATCGTGTCCAGAGGTGGCAGAGACCGTGTACCCCGATGGAACACGAGAATACGCCGAAACTTGCGTTCGAGAGTAGTTTCGGTAATAATACCAGGATCACGGTGAACACTGCGGTGTCGTCGCAAGATGGCATTCAAGTTGGTTCAGAAGCCGGAAGAGAAGAAGCCGCGGCCAACCCGAAGAGAAAAAGACTTTCCAAGTCTGACTCGGACTCGGTGAAGTCTGTCGCCATACCTTTGAAGTCGAACATCGTCATCGAGAGCATGGGCCCGTTCTCCAAGGACATTATTTCAGCCACCGGAACCAGTCAGCCTCGCGACTCGAACGATATCCTCTTCGTTTCTATCTACGAAAACGAAGGGAACGACGTTGAACCGTTTCGCCAGGGCGCCCCTACCAAGGCGACAGCTCTCAATAGCAGCGTCAAGATGCTGTCGTCAAAAGACGACTCGCAGCTGAAGTTCCTTGCTCTGGACTCCCCTACCAGGGATACTCAGCCAGCCGCGAAGCCGGAGCAACAGGGTGACGAAGATATCGGTGCTAAGAGGAGCAACTTGTCCGACACAAGAGGCGTTCATTCGAGGGCCCTCGCAAGGACGTCGATGCAGGGTTCTGAAGGACCGAAGATCGGGGACACGCCGCGTAAAACGAGGAAGAAACTCACTAGCCGAAATAACTTGGTTCAGAAGATGAAGACAGAAGACGACGATCGGGAGGTGGGTGCTACGTACACCAAGGACCCGGCGGCGTATGGAAAGGACGATGCCATGAAGTATTGTCCCGCTGATAAGAGTGCCCAGTTCATAGAAATTGTGTCGCTGAGCTCTGACTCCGACGCAGAGAACAGAGCGTACGCACCGAAGGAGCAGAAGAAGGTCTACAGAAGGATCGTGACACAAGACACCGAGAGTTCCTCGAGCTCCAAGAGAAGCAATTCGTTTAACAACCAGCAACCAGGCATCTCGGCGACGATCAAACGGAAACGACCGATCAGCCCGGACTCGGATTCCTACAAAGATCTGGATATGATTGTAGACAGTTGGTCCAAGGATTTGCAGCCGATGAACAAATTCTCGAAGATAGGGAGAAGCCATGGCCCTGCCGCCTCGGTAAACATCGGCGAGCGGAGGGTCAGCGGGATGTCCTCGGATTCGAATTCGTCTTGGATAGTCGTGAGAACGGCTACTTCTCAGCGGAGACGTTTAGCCTCGTCAGAGGTCGACTCGAACGTTAAGGAGAAGAACACCAAGGGACGAGGTCATTCGGGCAGAGAATTTTTCGACGACGACTCGCCGGATTTTGGAGCGATCATAGACAACAATAGAAACATTCAGAGAGCGGCGGCTGCGGACGACAGAGAGCCGACGAGACAAAGGAGCGAGGAGGTTGCCTGCTTGATGCAGGATAATTTTGACGAAATCATCGCCAATGTCGACACGGAGCAGCTGATAGACGACTATTGCAGGCCGTCGAAACGGAAATGCGATGCTGGCGCGGATGCTGCGCGGAACGTGTACGAGGATGGACGCATCAAGGACACTTCAGTCTCCCGGCTGCACAAGGGCTCCGATAAGGAGAACGAGTACAAGGAGTCCGGAAGATTGTACGACAGCGAGATCGACTGTGACAAAACCCTGACTCCGGAGCACGTAAACGCCGCTGATAAAAGTTCGAGGATAGAGGATGATGGATTGCGGGGACGAGCTAAGTCGGTGAAATCGACGAGCCAACAGCCGACCACCAGAAACGCCGTCGCGAATAGATTATCGACGATTAATCCGGCGTTCCCTGGCATTGACAGAATACTCGAGGAGACCGTCAACGACGTGACGCTGAAAGAAACCTGCTGCGAGCAAGACTCGCTGATGAACATTACCCAACATCAAATGCTCCTCAAACAGTTCGAGGACGATCTGTTTGGAAAAACTACGAACGTACAGCCGCCGATGAAACCACAGAGACAGCAACAGACACCGCGGATGCAGAAGAGGAATGAGGGTGTTAGCCGTCTGGATTTGAAGGGACAGGTGAGCTCGTGGTTTCGATGCGTCGTAAACGGTATTTTGTTTCGGAAGTGAGAGAGAAAGAGAGAGAAGGAGAGAGTTTACTGCTTGTAATACAAAAATATACAGTGGTCCAAAAAAGTGTTCGTGCACCTTTTAAGATTGAACGAAATGATATGAATTTTTTTTAGATAATAGTGGGACTAGTCTATTAGACGATGGCTAAAGAGCTTTTTTTATATTTTGCTGTTAGTTGGAATGAAAAGAAGTAATTAAAAACCCGCGATTTTTAACTTTTTTATTCAAGCCTATAACGAAAATTTAAAAAATGTCTTTTGTAGGTCTTGTTAACTTGTATGCATGCTGAAAATTTGATCAAAATCGGTTAACCAAGAGTTAGAGTTAGTAGACTAGCCCTTTATCATCGAAAAAAAGTTCAAACCATTTCGTTCAATTTTAAAATAGTTATTGCGTTTTAAAGGGTGTACGAATACTTTTGTAGGTCATTGTATGTTAGTTGTCCACATTGGGCTTGTTGATCGTAAATTTAAGATCAGATTTTTAAGAAATTATTTTAATCCTTTTATTTTGTTTGATAATTGGTTTTGTTTACATTCAATTGCTTTTTCATAACGTCTGCATCACTTTTTAGGTAAACGGCTATTGTTGCGTTAAGTATCTATCGATAGACTCAGTAAAAATGATAACTTCGAAGAATATTCAAATTCTTCAATTTTACTCAGATAATCGGACGATCTGACACTGCAGAAATTATTGTAATTGTACGATATTGATTTCCGTTTAACGCTAAACGTACCGCAACCCGACAAATGACTATATAGTTCTACATCTTTTATTTTATAATTATCGAGATTACAAAACTGCTTCCATTGGAATCTTGTGAATACAATAAATTCTCTCCAATTGTCGCTCAACTTGTAAACAAAAATGGTCGATTTGGGAAGAGGGGATACGATTATTCGAGCCTTGCGGCTCGTTTTTATAGTTGACAATTGTCAACTATACAACTGTTTTTGTTCACACGCCGAAGAACATTTGGGGAGAATTTACTATATGTTTCTTTATTTAGGTATGTACTACTATAAAAATAGTGAAACGTTAGTATGAATTCAATTTAATAATTTTTATACAGCAACATATATCAGTCACATTTAGATCTCGATACGTTTAGTGTTAAACCATTTGTATCTTAAAATAGCGAATGTTCCTAAATCTGATGAGCTTGAAGAGTACAATAAATTCTCCCAAATTGTCTCTCAGCTTGGAAACAAAAATGGATAACTTGGGAAGAGGAGATACGATGACTTGTCTATACTTTTTGCGTCTAGGTATTATAGTCGCCGATTATCAACAACTGTAAAAACGAGTCACAAAGCTCGAATAATCGTGTCTCCTCTTCCTAAATGATCCATTTTTGTTTACAAACTGAGCGAAAATTGGAGAGTATTTACTGCGTGTAGAAATTAGTCGATCGAAGAGTTTCCATTATTTTCTGAACATTACCGTCGCGTCGGTTTATTTCGCGTACGCTTACATTTCTGACAACTTGCACGAACGGGAAGTAAGATACCTTTATAAAATTGTCTTCCGGGCAGTAAGTATTGTTTGCAAGAAGAGCAATTAGTTTGTCGGGAGCAGTGTTTGCATCCGACTGGTCGGGGAATACGGGATATTAGCTGGGGAACTTCGCTGAAAAACAGCATAATTTCCTGCCACGTTCGGTATCTAAATCGCGGCTCTCATTACTCACCGTAACTATTCATTCCGCTACTTACGAGATAAACAAGCCTCTTTGCACAGCCCTCTCAAAGACTCACTTCTGCTCTGAAATATCCAGGACGCCGAACACTCAGCCGAGGAAGACGACATTGTCGAGAACACTCCCAACGCAAAGACGAAAAAGTAAGTAATGCGAGTCTTTTGTAGCTGCTCTACCCTCGTTCAACGTCATTCTCGAGCGCGCGTAATTATTCATTCAATTAACGGAATAATGCGATCCATACCAGAACGTCGTATCCCGCGGCTCATCGATCCGTCAGATTAACGGTGTCATAAATCAGGAAGTAAATTAATGCAGTAGTTGCATTGTTAAATCATTTTTATTGGCAGAATGTTATGGTTGTTAAAAAGACACGTTCAACCAGTATGTCCACTTTCGAGTGACCTTCGGAGATTCAATCAATAGTTATAAAAATATGTTTAAATATTAACGATCATCATTTTGGACACATCCTTTAATTTGATATTGTTCTAATTATATTTAGGCTCTTAAACTATAACAACGAGTACGACTCGTGATGAAGATTTTGTATACATGATCTGTTTAATATAAATGTTATTCATTGTTCCTAAATAGGTTTGCTTCTTTTGTTATCAAAATATAAGAATGATAGTGATATAAAGACATATAAGACTTCAAAATTGTTTCGTTCTGTTACGGTAATTATTAAAGACGAAGAAGTACTGATCGACGTAGCTGTGAAAGGAATCATAGTGACAGGGGGATTAATAATATTAAAGATCATTTAAAGTTCTACGTGATTGAATTTGTCTTTTTATTAACTGTAACGTTAGACTAATGAAAATACCTCATACGTTGTCCGAAGTGAACACTCTTTTCGTATCGTTAACTATTTGCTTTTGTAACATTTTTTGGTAGATCTGTTATCAAAATTTTGAACAATTTAATATGGATGTCATCAATTCCTTTTAACACGTCCGTTACCAGCATTAGTTCCACTGCTCATCATCAGTGTTAAAATATTTTATCAAACGCAACGTAGCATCTTTCTGAATCATTCAAACAATTTAACAAAGAAAAGTTGCGAACTTCTTGTTGTGAATTCTGTTATGTGCTGGGACTAGACTGCGGATCTTTATGTAAAGTTAAAGTTCTCCGATTCAACGGCAAGAAACAGAAGTTACATAAAAATGTATTACCTCCTTCAATAAGTTCAATAAATGAAGTAGAATGTAAGAGGACATTTTTCAGTTCTTCTAATGGTTTTATTGTTTAGTATTTTATATAATCAATTTTAACATAAATGCATAAAATCTGCAATCTAGCTATGACCTTAAATAATAACGTGCACGAAACTTTTTATTGTTTTTATGTGTAGAATCTACTCCAGAAGTGGGTCCCGCATGTTACATGACACCCTGCATAATTCTCCCTTTTTTTTATATCAATATTTGGTCAGCAAAATAAATATAAGCATTCAATGAATTTTATAAGAAACTATTAATGCCAAAGATCTTCTAATCACTGTAATTGTTAAAGATAGCTGAGACATTTTACATCACGATTCCCTGTTTGAAACATATCTATTAATAACAAAAGTAATTGATGCAGTATTTTGATCTATAAATTTTTTACAAAGTGATAAAATTGAGTTTTATTCTTTTCTGGCTTTTAAAAATATATACAAAATTATGATATTTCCGAGAAATGAGAGATTCCTGAGGTGATCTGAAGCAACTTTTTCCTTTACAAAAATTTTCTCGGCCACCGCGCGCCAGCCAAGCTCGCCTCCCATTGGTCACTGTTTTTCGTTAATAACTCGTAAACAAAGTTGCGGATTGCATTTGCGCTAAGGAAAAAGTTACTTCAAATAATCTCAGGAACCTCTCATTTCCCAGAAGTACCATAATTTTGGGACACCCTGTATATTCGAAAATATGCCTGTAATAGGATTTGCTTGAATTCGCAAAATCTACGAAGTTGATAGCGGTAAAACTTTCAACGCGCATTTCTGGAGACGTCACTTTTTGCACTTGCGTGGATGATACCTCAAATTTTAATTCATCGATTGTCTCAAAGGATAAAATATTCGACAGACGTGCCGTGGTCGAATGAATCACGAACATTAAAATCCGTTGATTCTATTGTCTTTTTTAAGTATATTATAAGTAGGCTGCGGATCTTTATGCAAAATAAAGATTGTACAATTTAAATGTAATAAAAATGAGTTAAACGAAAATGGTTTTTCTCTTTTAACAATTATAAGAAGTTGAAAATAATGCGTCAATATCCTTAAATTCTTTTAATGTCTTTATAATTTTGCATGTGACATTTTCATTCTTATCGTAAATCCATAAAATCCACTGCCTGTAATGCTAACAAAAATCGAAAAATTCAACAATCAGACAATTCAAAGTGCCGTCATTTTATTAATTATCGTCATTTAGTTTGTGTAGTGGTTTAGATGATAGCCATATTCGTACCAATGAAAACGCACTTTTACTTTTTGGTTTCGAATTAGATTAAGAGATACGAATGTGATAACTATAATAAGAAATGAACAAATTCACGCGCCTTAAGTGTTAGCGACACGTGCGTGCAGAAATCGAAAATGGCCTTCTGGTCCAGAAACTCTTGAATCTCGGGACAAGATGATCGATATTTACGGATAAAACAACGATTTCCAGCATGCAACCGATCGCCTCGTCAGTGAAGATTTCGGCAAGGACACCGGTGGTGCAAATAAACTGGCTCGATAGATCTCTATCCTCGGCAACGGGAAGAAACGCGACGCCTTTGGGCGAAAGGAGCCGACACCCTGTCTACCAGAGCACGCCGAAGGTCCAGGGACAAGCGAATGGTGATTGCGTGGGTGCCGCGAGCACGACCGTGAGGCAGCTGAAATTTGGAAGTGCCAACGAGCCGATGAATAGACGGCCGAACGAAGTGACTGGGTTCAATGGACAAAGGGAAAGATTGTGTTTTATTTGCAGCGGTTTACTACCCGCGGAGATAGAGCAGGTGAAGAGGCTGGCCAGCCTGACGAACGCGACTTACCTGAATCAATTCAATCTCAGCGTGACGCACGTGATCGTGAAGGTCGACAAGAAGAACAACAGCGCGAGCAAGACCCTGAAGTATCTGCAGGGTGTCGCGCACAGGAAGTGGGTCGTGAACAATCAGTGGGTGATCGACTCGCTCAAGGAGAAGAAATTAATAAACGAGGAGATGTACGAGGTGGTGGACGGCGCAACCTTCGAGACTGGCCCTCGGAACTCCCGGCTGAGGCAGAAGGAACTGTTCGAAGGATTCGCCTTCCTGTGCATCGGACCGTACGAGGATATCTCCGTGGAGCAGTACGAGGTGAGCTTTCCGAACACCTTTTACCAGGGAAAATTGAGGCCGTTGAATGGTCCCTTTGGGTGGGCTGACTTAACACTTTGTGTCAGGAAGACCCTTTGAAGCGCCGTTTCCGTTTGGTCGGTCTGGCCACTTTGCCTTCGCGAGGTGCTTAGACTCTGCACGATAGCCGTTCGATAAGCAGGCGCCCTTTAAGCGTTCGATAGGCAGATGCCCGAAACTCCGTAACTTTCCTTGCTTTTCTTTCAGAGGTGTACGGTAATCGGGACTTTCGAGTGTGTAGAGCGTACTATGGGTTTCTCGGGATTGATTCGCCCGAGAAAAAAATGTGAAGTAATGTAACATAATTTCGCTGAAACACATGACAGAAGGCAATTTGATGATATTAATTGGAAAACATAGGGGATGAACGTATACGAGCGCATAATTAGAAATTACTTTTGCATCAGAGTTTATCATGACGTTATTGTCATCATTAAAAAATTGTTGTCGTCGATTTATTTAAAAAAAAATGGGATTACCTATTTCCATCATTATATCACGATAGCTAAGGTCAAGACGAATCCAATAGTAACATGACCTTCGCGTGATCTTAAGTTGTTCGAGCATCGCTCGAATTGTTGCGTCAAAATCGTCTGAGATTTGCGATTGGCCGCCGGTCACCGACCATTGTTCAGACGCTTTGGTATTCCGAAAATTTACTTCGAGGAAGTTTCCAGTAAAAATGTCTAGTAGAATAAATAGTAGAGAATAAATCTACAGGGTGTCCCAAAATTATCGTACTTCCTGGAAATAAGGGGTTCCTGAGGTTATTTGAAGTAACTTTTTCCTTAGCGCAAATGCAATCCGCGACTTTGTTTACGAGTTATTAACGAAAAACACTGGCCAATGAGAAGCGAGCGCTTGGCTGGCGCTAAGCGGCCGAGCCAATCACCGGAGCACACCTCTCATTGGTCAGTGTCTTTCGCTAATAACTCGTAAACGATGCCTTGGAGAACATTTTTGTAAAGGAAAAAGTTACTTCGAATGATCTCAGGAATCTCTAATTTCCCGGAAGTACCATAATTTTTGGACACTCTTATAATAGAGAATCATTCCGTAAATATGATACTAATGTTAGGTGGATGTAAAGATAACTATGGAGTTTTATATTCACCTAACGTTATTGTCATATCTACGGAATGATTCTCTATTTTACTAGATATTTGTAGTGGAAACTTCCTCGGAGGACATCTGTATAGCACGTCTATACGTGTTGATGAGTTCTATGCAACTAGATATCCTGAAAGGTCATCAAAATCGTACGGAGGAACGTTTTAACACCTGAAACCCTCGCAAATGTGCGACGCTCCTTCTGAAACCGAATTAAAGACATGTGCAGAAGTTGTTTCAGCATTCGTGTCCATTTCTAAATGTTTTAAGATTTATTCGCACTCAAGGTCACGCGAAGGTCATGTTATTACAGGTCATTAAATTCGTTTTGATCTTAGCTATCATGATATAATGACAGAAGTATGTAACCCTATTAAAAAATAAAACATGGATGATCTTGAAATCTCGAAAAATATGGTCTTTAAGAAAAAAAATTTTTCCACCGCAATATATGTATCTTCGAACCATACAATTTGTTCCTCAAGCATTTTTGAGTATCGTAACAGCTTTAGTGGAACACTCTGTAGAATTCTGTCTTAAATGCATAAAATTTGCAGTCTACCAATAACGCTCAAAATCCGATACTCATCCTAAAAGCAAAGAAGCCTTCTAATATGTTGGTTGACAGCGAATTTTTTATAACATTGTTGTTGATTAAACTTAACGGCCCAATGCTGGTCACATCCAAGAAGTTTCATTTGTACAACGAGCAAGATTAGAAAGAATGGTGTACGGATATGTTTGTCATTCGTTATGCAGAGTCGCGCTTCGAGCATGGTTGTTCCAGCTGCATCGAGTGCATCGCAAAGAGGTAGTCTATATCGTGGATAACAATATATCTTGTCTAGTGTGTCAGGACAACGCATCGAATCGCAGGATATCTCGTCCACAGTGGCAGTACAACGGTATTGGATCGCAAGATATCTCGTCCCGTGACGCGAACGGGTTAATACGTGCACACGAGGTCCACCGTTTCCAAGACGCAACGGTTTTCCTCCAACGCAGCGAGCATTATGATCACGTTTTACATTGCCTTCGCACTACGACAACATGCGGGTCCGGCATCGGGAGACATTCTTAAAGGAATCGCATTTGTACCCTATCACCGTCGCTACGTCTATGAACACATCCGACTTTCAAACGTTCGATTACGTGTTTGTTGAAATGATTGCCGTTTAATTCCTCGAATGATAATTATCACAAGCGAACTATTTTACTCCTTCGTTCACACATACCTGAACACAATTATAGCATTTTTAGATAGTTATAAGATTCTGAGAAAGTGTAATATAAGATTTAGTGAAAAATGCGTCAAGCTACCGATAAACGTGCACTTGATTAACCAATGCTTTTCAAAATTGGCAACGCGTTTCTATTGTCATTAGAACTGTCTTTTAATTCTTCTTCTAAATCTACAATAATTTCTTTTACGGAAGTTATAAAAATGACGGGTTATTTAATTTTTTAATTTACGATTATTCATGTCGTAAAGATACATTTATGAGTTATTTATTCAATTTATATGTTACTTACGGCAAATGTTAAAAATAAAAATAAATGTCTTATCGTTACTTTTATAAACTAATATAAAACAGCTGTTTTTTCTGCTCCGTAAATCGATAAATCCGATAACTCCGTGTTAAATCGATAAATTTTTACAAAATCACTCCTGCAAAAACCTGTAGGCTTGCATAATAATATTATTTCATAGATTTTAATCGCAACAGGAAATGGTAATCATAATTTGTACATATTACACGGAATATGTTCAGTCACTGGCAGTGTTCATTTATTGAACAGATCACCCAATATGGAATTATGTATGTTACGAAAAGAGTGTTACATGTGATCATCAGACTGCGGAACTTCACGAAAATTCCCGTTTTCATACGTTACTTTGTAATAATTACGATCGGAGAACAATTAGAAAATTTTCCACTGCGAAAATAAAACAAATTTTACGGTTGTTAATCTGCAAACTGTAAATGCTGCAAATGCATAATACAGTCCATTCCTCCTAATTCACGCTCAGCTTGGAAACAAAAATGGACAATTTAGGAGCAGATGGTACGATTATTCCAGCCTTGCGGCTCGTTTTTGTAGGGAGGATTTTTTTTATAAATTAGGGAGAATTTACTGCATATTTCTTTATTTAGGCTAATACTACTATAAAAATTGTGGAACGTTGGTATAAATTCAATTTTATAATTTTTATACAGTAACGTGTACCAGTCACATTTAGATCTTGGTACGTTTACTGTTAAACCATTTAGTGTAAAATAGTGTATTTTAAAATAGCGAATGTTTCTAAATTTAATGAGTTTGCAAAATAAAGTGGTAAATAAAAGTAAGTAAATTCTCCCAAATTGTCCCTCAGCTTATAAACGAAAATGGACAAGTTGGAAAGAAGAGATACGATTATTCGAGCCTTGTGCCTGGATACTATAGTCGCCGATTATCAACAACTATAAAAACGAGCCGCAAGGCACGAATAATCGTACCTCCTCTTTCCACATTGTCCATTTGTGTGTGCAAGCTGAGCTTCAATTAGAGGGAATTTACTGAATCCGCACTCTATTGATCACGGTCTCGCAACAATCTCTGCGTTTTGCCAACGATTATGAGGGACGAAACAGATGAAACATCCTGATCATGAGTTGCGCAACATAATCTGTGTTTCGCGAAATGTATTGTGGTGAGAACAGTGTGTTTTGCGTAGCACAAACCGAAAATTGAGAAGTTGAAACGCTGGCCGGCGCGGCGTTCTTACCGTCGATCCGAGATCCGCGGTAACGCATTTATTTGCGTTTTCCGACCATCCAATTTTGCTAAGCTATTTACAGTTGAATTCTTGCCAAGTTCCACGGCTTAAGAATACGTTCTCTTGCAGGAGTTGCTACGTGCCACCGGCGGCACCGTGGTCTGCTCGCAGGAAGCTTTAGCCGTTGAGAGGACACAGATGAAAATCATTGTAATCCAGGAGCAAATATACGAGTACGAAATTATTGGTGAGTCTACTATGCAAATTTTACATCCTATTATACGTCTGTATCATGTCGCGCACCGAGCCAATTATTGTACATTAAAACGTTCATAACTTGAAAGGCTCTCTAAGACGAAAATGTTCTCCATTCCCTTCAGATTAAGGAATAAAATTTGATTCGGCACTGTTGAATAAAAATTTATTCCGAATAAAGATGTTCGAATAAATAAATAGAATAATTTATGACGAATAATAATTAATTGTTATTCGAATAAAAAATATTCGACTCTAGGAAATATTCTCTCTCTCTCTCTCATTCGGATAATTATCTTAGATAAATATTTGTGAATTCACCAACTACGAATAAAAATTTGTTAACCAATCATCGCGCGCGATGATTGTCAACTAACATCAATTAGTTGTAGTATCAATTAGTAATTTTTAAGATTATAACAAAGTACTAAACGAGTGCAGTTAGACAACCGATTTTATGCATTTATGAGGAAAATTAGCAGGCGAAGTACAGAACAATGAAAACAATTGAAAAATTTAGAAATACTGTTGCATTATTTTCAAGTTATTAAATTTATAAACAGAGAGAATACATTTTTATTTTCCTCCTGTTTCCTGCAATCGATGCAGACAATTTGAGAAACGGTAAAGAAACTGGAATGAAGTAAAAATTAATTGTTTCTTACTGTATGTTAAAGTAATTATGGCCAAGTTTAATCTCCAATTAATTTAATTAATTGATATCTATTGGGATATTTCTTCTTTCTTACGTATGCTTGCATGTCAGAACAAATGCTTTTTAAAATTGGCAACGCGTTTCCATTGTCGTTAGAGCTGTCATTTAATTTTTTTTTCTAAATCTACAATAATTTCTTTCATCTTTGTGATCTGGTTTATATAGTCATTTTTCAATTTGATTAAAATCAGAAAATTGAGGAAATGAGTTCAGGATATTTTCCTAGTTTCATAACATAATTATACAACTAAATTAGGATTCACATTAATATTACATGTTCTAATTACTATTCCAATGAACTTTTCCCAAAAAACGATCCAAGAAAACAATTCCGTCCCTTATCTTTCCGGTACGTTCCCAAATTTTTTCTCACACTTAATGACCAACCGAAGACATTAAAAACGTATGAGATAAAGATAAATCTGCTTAATCTGACGTAGACGACGAGAAAACCGCTTAAAAGTTCGGTTTTCTTCGCCGTATCTCTCTGAAAAAACGGAAATAAAAATTCCAAACTTCTGGAGATGGTAATTCAGACGAAAGAGAAGGGGAGATGAAGAGTATATTTTTGTAGTTAGCATGGAAACTGAACTTTCAAAAATGTGCCCTACTTTCCGGTCAGCCTAATGACTTCTAGAACTGCTGCTTAACGTCTCCCAGTTTTCAATTAACGATTCCTCCGGACGAGTTTGTTCTGCGCTAGAATATGTTTCTTTGTTTTTTCTCAGTAGGATGGCATAAGAAGACCGGTGCTGTACCAGTTGTCCACGACTGGATACTCGAGTGTATCAGTCAGTACAAGCTGATACCAATCTCTCCGTATCTGCAGGAGTTGTTGCCGAAGGATGTGCTGGCGCTCGGTTATCCCAAATTCCTACTCGAAGAAGATCCGGATGACGAGGACTATGACAGTGTGGAGCTCTTAACGCAATCACACTAGCTGTCTGTTTTTAACGCAATTCGCTGTCAATTAACCGCGTTTGTTTAATGTTATCACTGCGGGTTTTATTAATTTTTTATTTATTTGTAATCTCAGCAACGAGACGTTTTAATTTGCCACAGTTTTTGCACGAACTTGAAAGTTAAATCATCCATAAAAATCCGCAGTTAATTATTGAAGTCCCACTCAGTCACGTCACGCAAAAAGAGATCAAATTATAATTTAGTATGGTCAGTATGTATATCTGTATATTCGTTTTTAATTAATTATTAACATTTAGCTTAAGTTTCGTAACAAAGCGTCTATTTGTTTTCTTGGAAGCAAACTTGTTTCGTACATTTGACAGTATTGTTATAAGTATTCTATTTGTACTAATAAGTGTACATATTGTATACTCTGTGAGGGGGGTTGTTTCTTACAAAGTGGTTGGGAAGTTTTATTCTACTACCTGTTGAACTAATTTGTCGTGGAAGGTATTATAATTCGAGGTGTTATAAGCTAAGGTAAAGTTTTCGTCCAAATTGAATCTCATTCTTTTCGAGGATTGTCCTGTTTCGAGGCTGTTATTGTAGAATCAAGTTATTAGTTAAAGAAAAACAATGTAACTTCTGTAACAAAAAATCTACGCATACTTGTGAATTTAAAAAGAGTCTAGCGTATAGCAGTTTCGGTTGCTTGGAAAATTGAACTCTTTTGATGCGGTGAAAGTATATTGTCTACTAGACAGTGTCTACTGTAAAACTTTTGAAACAATTCATAAGACAGTCAACTAATTTGTAAGAATTGACTTCTGTATTCAGGATGCGCATTTTGAAGATAATTTGTAATGCCAAATTTCTCCTGTATTTTATATTGTTATTTTTCATTGTCTCATTGACTTGTTTACAGAACTATGAAAGTCGTCAAGAGTTACCTACTTTATTTCTCTAGCGTATCATCTGCTTCTCATAACTTTGTATTGAAGAATGCAGAATGTGTGTGTCGGTTAAATTATGTAAACGAATACGATTAATTTATGTGAACAAATTCCAAGCTGATGATGAAAGCGAATTGACATCCGTTATTTGGGAGGAAACCCGTTAAAATGTAAGAACACAGTTGACATTCTGTAACTTTTTCATTGCATTTTACAAATTTGCAAATGCCATTTGATTGTACCAATTAAAAATTTACGAATACAAAATTATTATTGAATAACTTTGTTAATGATATAAAATGTGAAGCACTAAAGCACGTTTGCTACCATGATTTTTTTCGTTCTCTATCTCGATCACTGAAATGTGATCTTCTTTAATCCTCCTCTGTCATCTCAATAGTCTAAAAATTTCATGAAGTCGATTGAATTAGTCGATAAGTAATTAAGTTAAAATTGAATGATTAAATTGAAAGAAATTAGGATACCGGTACATAGAAATGTCTGGTTCTTTACGTGTTTATCATCAACATGGAGTTTGTCAGTCGGTGCAAAGCCGGCAGGAGTAGGGGAGAGGGGTCGTCGATCAGATTTCGTTCTTTTTTTTTTCATTTTAATTGCGACGAACACGTGGGATGCGGATGGATAGGGGTATGTAGGACGAGAAAAGGTGCTCACGCCGTGCAATATCACCGTCATGGGTGGGATCAGAGGCTGCGTGTTACGAGGGACATCGAGGCCGCTCACATATTCACCAAGGCACACGAACAATATTGATCTGCCCGGGACCACCTGTAGCCAACTCTCTCTCGTTTCTCGCTCACGCGGCACACATCAGCGGTTATGAATCTCGTCCAATTGCTAGCAAGTGAGGAGAAATAATCACTGTCTAGCCCACCCATCTATTTAAAGTGCCTTATATCATGCGAGCGCTAAGTACAAGTTTCGTCGTGCCAATTAGATCGGTGACAACCTGTCCGATCGTCCTACCCATTTCCAGTAGGATGCAAGTCTACATTTAGCTCGTAACTAGACACGCACACGTCACACGGTTCGCAACATTGGTCGAGCGAGAATTATTTTTGTGAACGTTCTGGAAACTTGGAAATTTTTATTTTTATACATGCATCGAAATATATACACATTCTGCATAGTTCTATGGTCACGTTTATTTCAACCCTTACTAAATCAGTGTTGCTTTTAGAGCTTCCGCGATAACTAACTAACATGACATACAAGACCTCCCTAGACATCTGAGAGACAGAAAGGTATGATGAACATGAGCTATTTTTTCGAAAATGAGCGATACTTTATCAAAAAATTGTCAGATATAGTTTTTATTGTGGGAAGTGTTAAAAACGTGGAGTGAAGGAAGAGAAAGGGAACGTCTCGTCCTGGGCCCGTAGAGGACTCATCAGTAAGGCTATCGCCGAAGGTAGCCGCGACATTATTATATACAATTTATATAATTTCGTCGGAATGTTAATAGAAAAGGCAGAGAGAAGAAAATTGTTTCTGAAAATGATAAAAAAGAAATACTTGTTATACGAGTAAATTTTGAAAATGTCAATTTTCGAAATTTTCGATCAAACAATTTTGGAAATTCTGACACAGTCGTTTTCATATTTTGAATATCCGTCAGAACAAATTTTTAATCCATACGTAATGTTACAGTAATACAAATTTTATTTGTTGAAAAAATATTCTTATCGGCGATGTTAACATTTTTACTCATTTCTTTTAAAATATACACATCAAGACAAACACTTAGACATTTTTTTTTAACAGATCTTAAAATTCAGTCATTTGTATTTTGTAAATGAAAATGGACCTTCGCGAATCCTCTGTACAGATAATGTTATTGAAATCTCAATTTGCGCTGAAGTTAAATTTAGGATGCACGTAGATTATAGAGATCTTTGTAACAATGGTATTTTTCAATAAAAAAGTACGTCCCAAATTTCTATAAAGATTAGTTAATCTATCACAATAGATTTGAATTTATATTTATTTCAAGTGAGTTACATTTAATATATCATCGTTTACGTTTAATATAACATCATTTAGTCGCTTAATTAAAAAACGACTCATGCAAAAATTCCACTTCAAAAAATTTCTAGTCTTTACCTAGATCATTCAAATTCTGTAATAAGTCTGGATAATGGCATGGATATATTCCTGACCTAAATACTTCATGGAGACTGAGACAAAGAAATTGAAAACGTGCATGAATGCGGTGAACCGTCATCGAGTTTTCCGAATCGCAGTTCTTATTATACGAAATCGCACGAAATGTTAGAACAACGTTTAGAAACGTCCACTTCGTGAATTATTTACAGCATCAAGTCTCTCTATTCAGTCTCTCTAGGCTCCGGTACGTCGATGTTTGCGAATCTCCTCGCAATTGTGCATAGTATCGAAGGTCTGTATTGTACCCTCCCATGCTAGTACACATATATGCGAATTGCATCCATTTTAGTACAATCTTGATACATCTGTAAATGTCAGCGTGTTCCGTCTTTTAAAGTGCGACGACGGCGGAACATCGAAGGAAACTCCGCAGACAGAATGGGATTACAAGGTGTATTCGTTTCAGCCATTTTAATTAAGTCGCCTGAAACAGTTCCCTCTGATTTTCAGATTATTTGAATGGAATTATACACTTCACTGTTTGCTCATTTTTATGTTTGTAAACGTTTCAAAAGAAGAACTATGTTGCAAAATTCGAGATTAAAAAGTTCGTCTAATTGAAAATGCGGAAACATTTTTCAATTAATAATATTAATAACAACTAATATTAATAATAATACTAATATTTAAGAAATAATAATAATATTTTTTTAGAATACTTTGTGTTGAGAGTTTGCAGTGATGGGACTTAATAATTTTTCTAATAATATTTAATAGCTGTGTCCCTTAGACATCCGTTTCAAAACTTGAATATAATTTTGAATTCGCACTTATTTTATGTTAAAGTAAATAAAATTTATAACGCAGTAAACAATATAATATAAAAAGGAAGTTCAATAAGGTCAATTTCAAGATCTTTTAATATCTTTACGATTTAGTTACGTAATATTTGAAGAAATTATTCTCTTCATTACTCTCTTTATGCCAATTCTATGCCTCTTCTTATGCCAATTCTATTATTCTCGTCGTGCCAATATTATTTAATACCATCAATTTATGGAACAGTGAAAAATCACTTCTTACAAAATCGAGAAAAATGACGTAAATGTAAAAACAGGTTAAGAATACCGTAGAATTGGGTAGTTGACCCTTCCAATGGTACCAAATGGAAGTAGCATAGCCTTTTAGTTTCTTTTTGTGTCGTGTTCGAAACAAAAGTGTCCCTTCCATATCGAGTTTCGCTTATTATTATTGTATACTCGAAGTATAAGAAAGAACAATACGACTTGTGAGATGGTCCAATATAATACTTTGACAACTCGAACTTCAACACGTTGAACGTGTTAAAAACGTCAGTTCTCAGGGACTGGCAGCGAATCTATCATTTGGGCGGCATCGGCGCGTGGGACCGGCGGTATCAAGGTTAAAAAATAATGCCGGCCTGCCGTCTCAACGGAAAACCCATCAAAATCTTAACGTGTTAAGAGAAGGAAAAGTACTTTCGAGTTATAAAGGTTTTAACCCGTCGAAGTTCCAAGTAAGGGAGGTACGACAAATGAAAATTCGACTTGTAGGAGCTTTGCATCACGATTATTCTTTCCACTTGTGGAGGTGTCAAAAAACGTTCATACTTTTAAAGAAATAAACGATTGACGATCGCAGAACCGCTGAATCAATTAATTGGTATGTAGAGATAAATTTCGACTTGCAAAGACCGGAGTTCGCCTAAATTCGAGCGCCACGGGTGAAATACAAGGTAATGAGTTGTAATGATTTACACAGATGAGTAGAAGGGAATAAAGACAATTTTTTGTATCACAAGAGTAGTTCAGTTGACAGGGTTCTGCTGCATTGTTTAAATATTACCTACCATTTTTATTAAATAATTACGATCGTCGATCTAGAATTTAACATAACTTCGAAGAAGCAATTCGAACAGCGTTACCTCAAGGTGAAAAATGTCAAAGATTTTCTGAGGTACATCAAAACACGGAAGTCGCCTTAATAAAACAAATTCTTTTGTCGAACAGAAGAAAACTGACTTCCGTACGGCGAGCAGAATCCAAGTTCAGAAATTCTGTCTATGGTTCGCGTTACAATTGATCCCATCGGCGGTTGGTAATCAGCCACGCACATCGCTGACGCGCAATCTATGGATTTAAGTTGATCAACGTGCCGGCTTGTTTCAGTCAATTGGGCTCGAAGCTGCTTCGCGTATTTAATTCTATGCCGGGATTAACGCGATAGGGACGATAATCAGGATTAACGAGACACGAAATATCGGGTAGCTTCGAGGATTCTCGGTCAGCGGAGCGAACGACGTTGGACAGAGACGTCTGTCGGGACGTTTAAACAGAGAGAACGCGCTTGCGTATGCTGATTAGAACCGGGAGCAATTAACAATCCGAGTGCGAAATCGCGTAAGCAATTCGTGGACAAATAGTCCGGCCGAGTTTTCCAGGCTTTTGTTCGGGTCAGCTGGTTTCGGTGTCGCGAAGAAAAAAGCAACGGGATTGGGCGGATTTATCGATCAGCTTTCTCATTCCCTTTTTCATTCCGAAATAATTGCTCGATATATAATAACTACTCGAAATTTGTGAACGCGTCACGAACTACTTATACAATTGGTGTAGAAAGTATTCGTACATCTTTTAAAACGGAATAACTATTTTAAAAAATGTACCGATTAATTTGTATTTTTTTGGGATGTCAGAGGTATTGGTTTACTAAACAATGGTTAAAAATTGCAATTGGTTAGGATGAAACAAGAATTTAAAAATTGATGCTTCTTCAACTTTTTCTTATCTGAGAGCCTATAACAAATATTTAAGAAACGCATTTTGTAGATCTCGGCAACCTATACACACGCATATTGAAAATTTCATCCAAATCGATTGAGATTGCCATGAGCTGTTAACATTTTAGAATTTGCAAATACAGCAGTTATTCACGAATTTCGATCAAAAACTAGTAATTTTTACGTCTTTCGGTGGCTGTAGCTTGACGTTATGTATATAAATCATCGAGATCTGCAAAACAGGTTTTTTAAATTTTCGTTACAGGCTCGCATAAAGAAGTTGAAAAGACATAATTTTTTAATTTTGCTGTCATCCCCACCATTTTTTAAAAGAATTTTTTAGCCATTGCCCCTAGTAAACTAATCTCTTCAACACCGCCCACCCCTAAAAAATATCCATTTTAGAAGGTGCGCGAATATTTTTTACCGACTGTACGTAGTTCTCGATTATACTGAAATGTTTTCGAGTTATTTCATGCATAGCTAGCTCCACGCGCCGGTGCATTTAGCGTCTGCATAATTCAAGGGACGGATCGGATGAATGGCGCTGGAAATCAGGGGATCCAAGGGATCGCCGAAAAATTGGCAACGCTGATAGTGACAACAGGAGCGAAACGCGTGACGGTAACGGACGGATTATGAAAGCAAATAATCGAGCGACCCGCCGCAATCCGACCGAATAATTTGGTAGCGAATGTGGCGTAAGGAAGAACGGTGTACCGCGGCCAATGGAAGTTTCATGACTGCGATCCATGGTGCTTAACCGTCACGTTATAGACACCGCTATTGAGAAATCCGCTTATAAGTCCCGGCCAGATTAACATCGTCTGGTGGCCGTTCGAGCGGTGTCGCATAATGTGCTAAAGTCCTCGAAACGTGGACATAATTCATATTGTCCTTATGTGTGCACTATTCATTATGAAATAGGTTATGCCGATAAACAATAAACCCATTTTATAGGTTTTTGGAGTAGTAGAATGTGTGCAATTTTGATAACGACCTTTGTGTAAAATAGTTTTAAAACTAATTTTAAATAATTAGTTATAAATTAATTTTTTACAGGGAATTGGATACCAGATTCTACGATTAAATGTTGTCTATTATACAACAGTAAAATTGATAGAAGATTAAACGCAGGAAAATGTTCCTGTTGTAGTGTACAATTTTAAATAATAATACTATATTATATAATAAAAAAGATACAATGTGCATGAAGATACAGCGAA